TGTGGCGCTCACAAGGCCCCTGATGAGGCGTTTCTTCTTCATTTCGAATCAGCGTTCTTTGTCCACGGACAAGGGGATTTTACTAACAGATGTCGAAGCTGCTTTCCATTTTCGAGCTGTACTGTATGTTTATCTACAGACGGCAGCCTCTCCACAGAGTTCTCATGCAGCAGCCATGTGTTTTATCAAGCCTGTGTGAAAACGTGATATAGAGACTCCATCCTGTTCCTCAGTTTTCCTCAGGTCAAAGGTAACGCTTGATGCTAAAATTATTGCAGGCACAGCAGATTGAGTCGCATTAAACTTCTGAATTAAACTTCTGATGGTGAGCTCATACATGAACATTTTCTGCCAGAACTGACTGTCCATAAAGTCTGACATTAATTCACATTAGTTTTTTTTTTGCCATGTATTATTCTCATTACTTTATAGTAGAAAATTTCATTTAAAAAGACGATGTTCGTTTTCATGTATCCATTAGGATACCCTGTAAAAGAAGTGTGATGGTAAGTGTACTCTATCTGAGCATTCAAAGTGCTTTCTGCTACGAGACACATTCGCCCATTCACACACGCATTCATACAGCTCTTTATTCTATACCCTAAAGCACTTTCTAACAGTCACAGACACACTAACAGTCTGATGGATGAATGGTGAGGGGGAAATTTAGGATTTGGTATTTTGTCCAGGACATGTGGACCAGAGGAGCCAAGGGCCGACTCAGTGGGCTTTAAGTGCTACGTAGAAATAATGTGTCCTTTTCCATCCTTTGGCCCTGACATTTTCACAGTAGCATGGTGGATATCATATACATGTCTTGATTATTTCTAGCAGGGTACAGGCCTATTGTCGTTATTAGTGTTTCTTGCTATTCCTACTGTTAAACACCTGCACTTGGGTCTATTGGTTTTAATTGACATGCAGTCATAAAGTAAAAGAAATTGTGACCAACATGCAAAAGTGAAAAGGTCTGTGTAGAGTTTATAGTTCATCATCTGCAAGTACGACGAGTGATGGAGACAGTTGATATACAGCATGTCATGACTGTGCGTCTGTAGGTTTGACATGTGAAGGACTGAAATGCTCCAGCGAGCTTTTGATCAAAAATAAAAATAGTTTTGATGTCTTTTTTTCTTTTTTCTCTGTGTGTGCTATTCAGCTGCCAAACATTATACACTGTCCCATTACCTCTAACAGCCATGGTGGTGGTATAATCTGAGTCCCAGAAAGGGGCCAATTATCCCAGATTACACGTTCTATCAAGAAGCAGCCTTGACATCTGAGTTGTACAACTGAAGCCGCAGCACTCGAGCTGAACTCTGCTTGGCTTTATGTCGTGTGGAGCATCGGGCTCAGATCCTCTCCTATCTGCTGTATTAATAAATTCATTCTCTTTCATGTCATGTTCAGTTGAATTTTTTAATCAGGTCATTGAACATTAAACAACTTCCCGAGAAGGCTGCACTTTTTAAATACATATAGTGAATTTACTCTTTTCCCCCATGACTCATAAACCCACAAAGAATATCCAGAAAGAAATGCATGGTGTGTAGTGCAAGTAGCAAAAACACATCCTTCTTATTATGATGCAAGTGGACAGCAAACAATATTTTACTGCTGGAATTATGAATAAGAAAAGCTTTATTGCCCCATATAATACCAATGAATTTTAAAATGTGTTGAATACATTACAGAGGGTATTACAGCCTTGTTGCTTAGGCCACTGCGCTCCTGTGCAGGCCGAGCCCCCAGGCTTTGTCTCTCATGTGCATGCCACAGAGCCAAACATATTTTCTTCAGAGATTAATACGCCTTACAATTCATAGTCTATTACAGTACTAGAAGGTACTGTCACCTGCTTACTTATTTCCCAAGGGGTCACCACAGTGGATGGATCCGCATGACTGATTTGGCACAGGTTTTATGCCGGATGTCCTTCCTGATGCAACCATCCCCCAAGTTTGGGTTTGTGTCTCCTCCCAGTCTCGAACTGCCGATCTTTTCCTGATTGTAGATCATGTGTGTGTATTTATGTATGTATAAAAGAAAATAAATAAGCATAATAAAATGTTATAGAAACAAACAGAGCGAGAGATCTTTCATTCATTCCTTGGATCTGAAATCGTACTGTTCCAGCAGTTCCGGAAATGTGTCAAAATCCTGTTTAATCCAGAAGCAGGCCGGATATTTCTTTAATCTGGATTTTGGTAAGAGTCTGTGACCCTCAGAGCAGCAGCTAATGTTGCAACCTCCTGGGTTAGGTCATAGACTCAGTGTAGTGTTCACCCTCTTGATTGGTGGATTGTTGAGCCCATTATTGTTACAATGGCATCCGGTTGATATAAGTCTACTGGCTCATGCTCTTTGTTTTTGGAGCCAAATGACACACAAAAAACTAACAAACAAACTGTAAAGAACAGCGATTATCATGTTCACATTTGAACGTATAACTCATTGGTGCTCTCTCCTGGTAAAACTATGTAATAACAAGCAGTAACTCATCGGGATAATATGGGGTGAGTGTCGCTACAGCTCACAATGTTTGTCTATTAAGACCTCAACAGTAAAACAGCCTCTGCGCATCCATAATGTGAATTTTCCACAGTCACCAGATCTCAAGGATACTCTACTGTATTGAGATCTGGTGACTTCGGATGCCATTTGAGTACAATGAGTTCATTGTCATGTTCAAGATGATCTGAACTTTGTGGCATCACTTCAAAAGATGGGTACGCTGTGGTTATAAAGAGGTGGACATGGTCAGCAACAGTACTCAGTTAACACTGTGCCAGATGGGCGCAAGAAAATATCCCCCACACCATTACACCAGTATCACCAGCCTGAACCATTGACACAAAGCAGGACTGATCCATGCCTTCATGATGTTTACACCAAAATCTGATCCCACAATCTGAATGTTACAGCAGAAATCTGATCCGATTGACAATGTTTTTCCAGTCTTCTACTGTCCAGTTTATGTGAGCTCCTGTGAATTGTAGTCTCGGCTTCCTGTTTTTAGCTGACAGGATTGGCACCTGCTGTGCTCCTCTGGTGCTGTAGCCCATCTGCTTCAAGGTTCAACATGTTGTGTGTTCAGAGATGCTCTTTTGCATACCTTGGTTGTAACAAGAGATTATATGAGTTATTGTTGCCTTATCAGCTCAAAGCAGTCTGGCTATTCTCTGTTGACCTCTGGTATCAGAAAGACATCTTTTGCTGCTCACTGGCTATTTTTTCTTTTTCAGACTGTTCTCCGTAAACACTAGAGTTGGCTATGTGGGAAAATCCCAGCAGATCAGCAGTTTCTGAACACTCAGACCAGGCGGTCTAGCACCAACCATGCCACATTCAAAGTCACTTAAATCACCTTTCTTCCCCATTCTGATGTTTAGTTTGAACTTCAGCAGGTCACATTGACCAGATCTATATGACTAAATGCACTGAGTTGTTGACACGTGATTGATTTATTCATTGATTTCTTTTTTTTTTTAATAGATTTTCATCAATGAGGTACTGACGGATGTACCTAATAAAGTGGCTGGTGAATGGAAGTTTTTGGGCATTTCTTTAGTGCTTTCTTCTTGAAATTTTCCATCAAACTCTTTTTTTTTGTTCATTTAACAGAAATATACACACCACTTATGCAATATCACTTCAAAGCCAAATGAAAAACTAACTGCTTAGATTTAGTCCAACAGAAACACAAGCTCCGCAGCTGGAACTCAGAAGACTTTACAAATCTTTTATTCTTTTAAAAGAATAAAACTTTAGTTTACTTTTATTGTTGATGACATACTTAATTCTCCTTGGCTTGGAGGAGACCAGTTTTAAAATGTTCTACCACTATTTATTCAGCTTCTCTTTGTTTAGTGTCTCTGTATCTAACTTAAAAATGCCTTGAATGGATGTTTCTCCTGTAATTCTATTGGTTTGTTTAAATCACTCTTATACTGCACCGTTCCTCTCCTATCAGACTTCTGGAGACTATGGGTGCTATTATCACATGTCCATCTATAAATTGACATCTTTACCATTCATTTAGCGTCATATGATCAGACTCTATCTCTATGCTTTACAGTCAGGGCCATGCAATCGCTGTGGCACCCAGATTTGTGCCATATATGCTGGAACCTGTCTGAGCTGGATAAATTAATCCTGGCCTCAATTGGATCAAAGATTGAGTTTACAATAGCTAACTTTCCATTTGATTTAGCAATGTTTTTTGTGTGGCACTTTCTGACGAATAGTTTTTGATTGTTCACAAGAGAATTTATAATGCTTGTCATGTATTTTTCAAAAATAATAAGTGACATTATTAATGTGTTGCATGCTGTAATTAACGGTGATACACAAACACCATCTCGTTTTTCAGTCTAATAATTGCTATTATGGACTTCTATGGTAGGGCGAACCACATAAGAGACATCATGAGGCAAAAACTTACAACAAAGCTACATGGTGTACCCCTCTCGCACAGAGTGGTACACAGGCGTTTCTGAGAAAGGTTAAGCTGAAACGTTAGGTCAATAAAATATGGATTAAAATGAGGAAAATGCTCTCTTGAATGTCAGCTACCTCGAAAGGCACACCCACACAGGTTCGCTCTGTGGCGGCTCTTTGTTTACCTATGGAAATTTGAGCCAGGTAAAGTGGTGACGTAGCCCTACCGGGTGCCGTCTGCTTCTTCTTCTTCCCCCTCCCTTCCCCCAAACACTGCTGTCATTAGCTTTCAAGTTTTCAACTTCTAACAGAAATAAGCAGTGACACTATGGTGCCAGCTCCACCAGTCCCTGTGAATATTTCCCCCCGGTGTAGACAGGCTGGTGGAGGATGAGAGGTGAAAGTGATGCAATGTTCGTTTGCACCTGTGACACCCCCTCCCGCGGACAACACAGACACACACAGACACACACACACGAACCTGGCAGCAGCCTACCGAAGAGTAGGACGCTCGAGCCATTGGGTGGAGCAGCGGCGTCGCGTGCTGCGGAATACATTGAGTAGGTCGTTAAGGCTGCGCGCGGTTCGGCTGCAGATGCAGGTCGCTGAGTGGGAGCGCGAGGCGGGGGGAAATGGCGAACAGGCGCGGGCGGCGGTGCACCTTTTGAGGATATAGTAGGCACCGGGAGCGCAGGCAGGCAGAGAGGCGGCTCGAGGACAGAGAGAAGTAGAGGAACCATGGAGGACTCGGAGCCCGCAGAGGACGGCTTACTTGCGGGCTTGCGGTGGAACAGGAGCGCAAGAGACCAAGCTCAGCTGAAACACAAAATCCGGGATCTGCCGGGACTACTGAAGCACGGGCTTCACCTGCGGAAGAAAAGCGTGAGTACTTCAAACCGACCGCTGTCTGACTGTCCGTCCTTCCGTGTTTGATGTCTGGTGAAAGGTGGACGGGTTTTATTTTTTTTAACAGTCCCGACATCTCGCCGTGAAGGCTCTGAAGCCGTTTCGTAAGCCTGTCACGACTCAGGTGTTTGTATTTTGCTGTGAACAGCGCTGTCGCAGAGGCACCCAGTGTGTGTACGTGTGCGCGCGCGCGTGCGTATGCACGCTACATCCATAATAACCAGAACTGCTGTTGGACACCATACCTTCACACTCTGGTAGTCAAGGCAACACCACCTCCACCATATTGACTAGATACACCTACTTACATACACTAAAAATTAGACACGTTTATATATGTGTATATATATATATATATATACACATATATAAAGGAATGTGCGTAGGTTCACTGCTACATAACACAGTTATTTTGATTGCACAGTAATGTTCTGTAAGTGTAGTTTTTGTTTTTCAGTAGAGAAATAAAATAAATAATTATGACGAAATGACCATCACAAGTTCTGAGTCCACTGTGATGTATTCATATGATTTTTTCTGTTTAACTGTGTGCCTGCTCACCCAGAAATCAGAGATAACAGCGTCAGACAGAGAAAGCATTCATGGGAGGACATAAAAAGAAGTCTGGACTAGCACCTACTTGCATTTTTGTTTGTGTAAATAACTTTAACGATGTATTGGTTATCAAACTAATGTCAAACGATTAAACATCTGATTGAGTCAGGTCTGTTCTTTGACGAATAAGCTATCCTAATATTTATATATCAAATCAGAATTTCCATCTGATGTATCTTTGAATTGTTTTTTTTCCATGATTGGCCGGCTAAGCAGTAACTGTGACTTGATGTGCCCAACTGTGGCACTAACACACCTGACAAGCCAAATGGCTGCTCAAAGTGTCAGTTCTGCTCATCTTCATCATCAGTGGCACCCAGGAGGGGAAAAAGGAAAAAAAATATGTCTCTGAGTTCCCTCCTTAAAGATCAGAGACTTGTGTGCCACTCCTTCCAGTCCCACTGGAGAAAGACGTGTTAAAAATATGCAACATTTGTAGTTTAAAGCCACATAGGACCAAAGAGATAAACACTTTGTCATGTTCCATCTGGTCATTTTAACTGATGTTTGAATGACCCACTGATCGGGGCCACTCAGTCTCCTGTTACCTGTTTGTATGATCCCGTTTTCCAGTCAAAATAAATCAGCAGCTGTACACGACAACTGAAGTGAGTCCACTCAAGAATGTTATTATAAAACCACCAGAGAACGGCTGCATTAGAGGGTGGATTTACCTCCTTTTGTGAATTAACCATGCTTTTTGTGCAGTACCCATGAAGGCGAACATAATGGCAGGCTTGAGTAGATGAAGAATCTTTCATTCTCTTCTGATATCTTGGTGTGAGCATTCTATGTTTGTGCGGGTGAGTGTGATGAAGCATAGGTAAGTAGTGTAAAGGTATCGGTGTTTTGCACAGACTGGTCCTCACCAGGCTCTTTTCAGTCGCCTCTGCTTCACCTGGCATACCCACAATACACTTTATTTTTATGTGCACAAAAAAAAAAATCAAAAAGTTGTTGGATGGGAGGTTCCTGGGATTGTTTTGCATTGCACTGCACCATCACCTGAGGCACTTGTCTAAAGATGCAACAACATATTTTGTGGCTCAGAGGTGGGTGATACATAGGAATAAGAATGATCTGACCACATACAGTAAAAAGAAAGCCCTTGCTATCTTCGTTGATATGAATATATGCTTTTTCTTTAGTTCTGATTGTTTGCCCAACAAAAATCATGCTTAAGTAAACAATCTCCTTCCTGGGAACGCATCGGCTACTTTGCTGACTTAGTCTCTCGGAGTCACAGCCCATATATTTCAGTGCTTTGGTGTAGCCTGTGGATATATATTTTACATATAAGAGTTGTGGTTTTATCTGAGATTTTTAAAGTTAGCTTAACTGAGAGTTTTAAGATTGCTTTACAGAGAATGCAACTGCTCATCTGGATTCAACAAAAGCTTGTTAATTGGTGATTGGTCAATAACACTGGAGAGTTTTCTGGTACCCTCCCACAAGATGCACATGTCTTGAGATATTTTACTTTTTAATACGTGTATCTGAAGTCATTCATAAGTCCTCAGTATCCTGCGTGAGTGTTTTTTTTTTTTCACATTATCTGATTCTTTAATGTTTGGTGACAGCTCATAAAGTGAATTGAGCTTGTTGTCCTGTACGGAGGCATCTGTCGCCTAAAGTTGCAGCCTGCAGCAGCCTCACCTTGAAAAATCCTGTCCTGCATTGTAGTCTGTTGTGACTTGCTCTGGTATTCAATTATTACTCCTTTATTGGCTGCGATGTGACAGGTGCAGGGAGATTTGCTAACACTTTAAGGGCAGTTGAAAAGTCAGTAACCACAGTGCATTGTAGTTTTTCAATAGACTTTGGCGAGTGGCTAATTGCAATTTGGCAAGTCGATTGCCATTTAATTTTTGTCTTGGTCATGTTGAGTTTGTTTATCAAATGTAATAATCTGTGTTCTTTAGTAAAATATAATGAATGCTGCAATGATTTCTGCCTTTCACACAATCAAGCCTTCTGTAGTGTTTCAGGCATTCAACCCATGCTTAAAAGCAACATCGGTTCAAAAATCATGGAACTAGACCAACAACTGCATGTGTGGTTCTGCACCCTGATCATTTAATAGCATGTATTGTCTCTGCTGACTTGTTCATGTAGAGTCTGCAGGCAGCGGCATCCGTTATCTGAAGCTACATTCACGTCCTTTGGCTTAACGTTTCTCCTGGTTTGAAACCAAAATAATCCCAATTAAGTGCTTCATATCCTTTTAACAACAGCCTCTTCCGTGATTGTATTTACTGAAAGTGGCATGTGGGGTGCTGGGACTCCCCCCGGCTCGCCCTCTGTGCGTGTTGAACATACCTAAAAGGCAATGCTGCCAACAGTAATAAGAAAAACTGTCAACTGTTAGTTTCCCTTGAGCCAGATTCTGTGTATTGATGTCAGTAATTTTGTGCGGTAATATAGAATTTTCTGCCATAATTGAAGAGGTGCAGAGACTTTGCGTTACATTAGCAGGAGTGCTTTGTATTGCCTGATTCTTGCATTTCCATGTGTTTGCATTCTTAAAGACAGCCAAGGAATTATGCATGCTAACTCTTTACCCCCTTTGAAGGACTACTAGGAGTAACCCTTGAAGCTCTTTTCTGAACTGAGCGATTTCTGTCATATTTCACGGAAACTTACAGAACAAAATGACTGAGTGTGCATGAGGAGTTAGTGAGCTTAGCCTCTGCCAATTTGAAGCTATGCTCGGAAAAACCTGTAAAATATTCTAATGGTCATCAAACCAAATTTGGGAGGTTGTTAGATGTTTATGAGGAAAGAGTTAAAGATGGAGGAGATGTTTTGAAAAAACAAATGTGGAGTGGCATATTTGGAGAAATAATCTTGTGCACTCGTGTGTTTTTTTGTTTTTTTTTCTTTGTTCTGTGGTTTTGTGGTTGCAGCTTTTAGCCTCGCTGCTAATGAGTTTATGATAGACTACATGCTGGAAATTATACTGCTGCCCCCACACAATACCAAGTTTTCATATCTAAATGGTACTTATAAAGGTGTGTTTTATAATACAATTGCTATAACAACAATTTGAAAAGTTAAGCCTTTGTGTTGATTCAAACTTGAACTTAAACATTCAACATTTTCTTCTGCAAACTGAAGTCAAATATACAGCATTCTGCTTTAGGCGGTAAGATGAGATTATGAAACCTTAAGCACTCTTAATGCGAGCTATCTGACTTTATGATCACTGTCTTAGAGGAAAGCTGGTGATATTTCTCAGAGGATGATCTCATTTCTGCTTTAATATGCACAAAAATAGTGGCTTGTGTTGTGTTCTATGTCTTCCAGCCATATTTCCCTTCCATAAGGCATCCTACCTTAATGTAAGTAAGATGAAAGACAACCGAGGAGTAGAGAGGCTCTTAATGGCCACAAACTGAGAAACATACTAATGTTATATCCAACGTTCATGTTTTTTGTTACCACTTTTGGAGCATTTGACATAGAATTGTTAGGTGCAATGAACATATGTGATGTTACGCAAGGGGTATTTACCCCAAATAATGATTATGTTGACAAAACAAAGTACAAAAAATTGCAGCCCTGCAGCTCTGTTAATTTCCAAAATTATTTTGGGATTCAAATGTCACACAATACTTTCTTAATTCAGCAAAGTAATAGCTTTAATTTTTTTTTAAAAAATGTTAGAAAACAGCAGTCTACATCACCAGATGGTCTGGTAATGGTTTCAGAGGGCTACATCAAATCCAGCTAGTATTCAGTTCCAGACTTTGCAGCCTCATGCTAAAAACTGAGTGAATTAAATTTTCTTCCATAAATCTATGTTCAAAACACTTTTACTGCAAGGTGAAGTAGATTTTGATATAACTGTGTATTTTAAAGCGAAAATGTCTGACAGTCCTTTAGGTATTTTTATGCAGACTCCATGCAGGTTTTTTCTACATGTTCCACTGTGGAGAGGCTGCTCTGCCATAAAGCTCAGACTGATTGATGGAGTGCAGCAGTGATTGTTGACCTTCTGGACGTTTCTCCTCTATCCACACATGATCTCTGGAGCTCAGCCATGCTCCATCAGGGTATTGGTCATCTCTCTTACGAAAGCCCTTCTCCCCCGATTGCTCAGTTTGACCGTGAAAGGGTTCTGGTGTATCCACGTTTCTTGTATTTAAGAATTAGGGATGCCCTCGGACAGATCTGCGCTTCAACTCCCTCTTGTGTCTGAGCAGTCAGTTCTTTAAACCTCACGCCAATGTGACGCCTTTCTAAATCCATTAAAAGTGTAGAAACATCTCAGAGATTATGCACAGATACAGGGAAAACCTAAGTTATAAGAGTGTAAGTACTCGCAGGAAACCTTCAAAATAAGAAGAAATTGGAGATTT